TTTGTACACAACCTGTGAGGAATAAGAAAGAGTAACCAAACATTTTCCAAATCATGGACTCGCCCTATTCGTCAAAGTTATCACGTTTTACGTAACTTCCTAGAATTAAAGATGGGGACGACAAATCGTTCTTATTTATTATTTTTATTAATAAAAATATGACATTATAATGATTATAAATTTTACTGTCTTAATCATGGACAAAATATCTAATTACATAATACACGATAATAATATTAAATTATATTATCTACAACCATGTGGAATTTGTTCGATTAGCGCGCAAGCGGATGCTATAAGAAGCTTGATAATGCATTAAGCTCTTACAGAATTCATTCACAGGATTCTATAATGCATAATGCTCTTATAGAATCCATAATAGCACTAGTTGCATTATAACACTTTTCGTGGGCAAATAAAAGCATTGTTTTTAAGATAAAAGTATTATTACTTTCATTTCAAACAAATTACCGTTTGTTGTAAACTAGAGGAACCTGGCAGACGTTCTGCCTTCATGTCCCTCTTTCTCCTTCCCTCTCCCTTTATCTATCCATCTCTCCCTGTCTCTGTCTCTCCCTCTCTCTTCGTCTCTCTGTGTGTGAGTGTGTTGGCTGTCTCAGTCTGACTGTCTCTGTCTCGGCCTCTGTCTCTGTCACTGTCTCTGTCTCTGTCTCTGCCTCTCCCTGTCCGTATCATACCCATTTAGTTGCAGATTTTGCATTTCTCTGAGCAGGTGAGGTTATATAGAGAAGCACCGGACCAGAAATGTACTAGAAAGTTGAAGAAGATCACATCCTGTAGATTACCGTGTCAAAGGCGTTTCTTTCAGACCTTTGGCCTCAAAATTGTAGTTTTAATGTCCAATAACGCTTCGTTTAGGAGTTATTTAACGATATAGAGCCAATTATTATCCCGAGTGTTGCAAGTTGGCTTTGACATAAATATTTAGTTTTGTACTTGTGTTTTTTCTCGTATTTTTTTATATTTTAATAGTTATTATGCATAACACTAGTGGAAGTCAAATCAGAATATGTTAAGATATCGATATTTTCTTTCAATTTTCACAGTTTTAACGTGGAATAAAACCTTTGTTGGATTCTTGTGCAGTGTAGTGTTAATTCAAAAAAGTTTCTTCATCGCCATTACAATCTCAAAGACAGGAATGAAAACGATGTTTTTCATGGAGAAACCATTAGTATGTTCTCCTTGAAAGGGAAGTAATGACGCATGTTCCACGTAGCAGATTTACTACATGCAAAAAGTTTCAACTTAAAAGCTCTGGGGCAAATTCTAGTCGTCTGTTTCGTCACCCGGTGTTACCTTCTTTCGCTGCTAGATGGCGAAAGGAGCGTAGGGAAATTTGCGTGGTTAGGCAGAAGATCAGACCTGAAGACCTGAGCCTCGTCATGTAAAATAAGGCATCATAGAACAGAAGAGAATAGAGACGTGACAGAACAGCCACATGGAAATGGTGGTGCTTACCACCAGCGCGGTGGGGGACCCTGATCAATTTGCTTTTGAGATGGCCTTCAATGGTGAGAGCGACGACAGGACCGGTTGAAGTAACGGATACGGTGGTGGCAAGGCTGGCGGTTGGAGAAGACGGTGAGGGTAGCAGTTCACTCGAGTGAACGATGGGTGGCAGAGGGGTTCGCTTGCTTGATTGGTGTTTCCCAGCACGACATCTGCTATAGTCTTAAGTGCACAAAGTACAAGAGCTGTGAGTGTAACTCCTAGGACGTGAGATTCGGCGCCGACATACACATCGGCTGGCAAGGATTCCTCCTTCCAGGTAACTCCGCCAGAGGGGCACAGCCCCCGCTGGGAAAAAACTCTACACATACGGTGGTACTGTAGTGTTTGCAAAAGTAAAGGGTACATGTGTTGTAAACGAAAAAGAGGAAGAAGAAGAAGAAGAAGAAGAAGAAGAAGAAGAAGAAGAAGAAGAAGAAGAGCAAGGAGAGTAAGAGATATCGCATTCAGTCCGTTGCCCATTTGTTAAGATACTGCTCCGGCATTCGCCCGGTATTGATCGGAGTAACCACCGAAATCTGCCGATCTGAACATCCGCTGTAAGAATTCTCCTCCAGTGATCGGCTGAATTCAACCTAGCTATTTAGCTAGAGCCCTCGTACCTCCCGGTCAAAGACACAGCAGTGGCAAGAGTTGTTGGAGCTAAATCCGCAGCGGCGGCGGGGGCGGCGGGGGCGGTGTCCGAGCCCCTCCCTGCCGCCGCCGTGGCGATGCGTCACGTATAAATCAGGCGCCTCGTTACGTCGCGTGCGGGCGCGGCGCGTCGCGTGCCCTGCCGCACGCAGCCCGTTACCCCTTCCCTTCCCCTCTCCTTCCCCTGCCAACCCCGCTTTTTCCTACGTAAACGCCAGCGGCCGCGCGGCAGCGGTAGCCTCAGCCGTGGTAACGGCCGCGGAGGTTATGGTGGCGATGGCGATTGGTGGTTACGGCGATGGGTACTGTGTAGTTTCAGGGGATGAAGGGGTTGTAGAATGGTTCTGCCGGGGTTGATAGAGGTGGTAAAGGAAGCAATGGTGGATGCGCAGGACAAAGTAGTGGTGACGAGGTTTAGACGGTGGTGGCTGTGATGATTAAGGTTTTGGCGGCGGGGGTTTGTGTGGAGACGACGTCGGAGTGGTCGCTGGGTCGGTGGGAGGAGACGGAGTAGAAGCCAGTGGCGATGATGGTTGAATTGGCGACGATATTGTTGGCGGTTGCAGAGTGACATCGACGGTGATGGTGATAGTGATTGAACTGTCATCGGCTGCTTGTTGTTAGTGGCAGTGGAAGTTGCAGTGGTGACGGGGGTGGAATTTTTGGCGAAAGAGTAGGGAGTGGCCGTGACAGTAGCAACAGCAGTAATGGATAGTTGTAGTGGTCCAGCGAGCTGCCTGGGGGCGAAAATAATTCTGTGGTGACCACGCAAACCACGCTCCGCAGGGAAAGTTAAGTGAAGTGAGCATGGTGCCGCTGAGTATATTTTAAGTCATGTAAACGATACGTCACCCTGTTAGTTACGAGGTGCGCTGAAACGATATACATTCTTGTTTTTTCTCTCTCCATAAGAATTGAAATCGATTTCTTGAAAAACGTACGACATATTTAATTTGTATTCGCATTTTGCATATCTTGCACTGTGTACTACTACATTTAGAGACTTAGTGCGTTGCCCAAGGCATTTGTCATGGGAACACTTGACATTATTCTTAATAGATTGATTATAATGACCAACAATATGTTTTTTAAATTTGTTTACAAATTGCAGTACAATTTTTTAGCAAATTATTCTAGTGATACATTAATGATGCATCCCTCTGGGCTGTGAGGTAAAGGTTTAACAAGTAATTTTTGTTGTATTTTATTTACATTAAATAAATATGTCAGTACTTTCCTGTTATTACATTTGTGTAGCAATCCTGCTCACATAAGCTAAATGATATTATAAGGAATGCAATGCTAATTATTTCGATAATGCAACTATACCTATACAGTATTTTAGTAACTACGAGTGTGTATGTGTGTGTGTGTGAGTGTGTGTACGTGTACGTGTGTGCGGAACCGTCACTCACTACTAGACCACTTCCCGTGTACCAAACAAATCATATGAGGTGCCATTCGACGCGTTGGTTTTCTGGTGGGGAACTAATAATTTGTTACCAGATGCAGCTAGAAGATTTCAAGAAATTTCCCAAAACGTGCTTTTACGTTAACCTGCATTGTTGTGCACATTAGCAAACAATTTAAAATATGTAACTGAACTAAATTCTAACTATTCTGCATCATTCAAACCTGGAAGTATTTATGGTGAGTATCATTTTCAAATTGCGATGTTACCAGTGTGTATCCCCTATGGAGGTAACATACAAGGCCGTTGGGTTTTGGAAATTTTTGAACTGGAATTTTTGAACATTATCAGCAACTACGATTCATTGGAGTGTCTAATACCAGAGACTGTAAGACCCTAGTGAACAAAGCTATACATGACATAAAATTTCAACACGTGAAAATAGTTTGAAAATAGTTCAGAGCGTCGGCGACGCCACATTCAACTAGTAGTATATATTGGGTTACCGTTTGTAGTTCCCTTTGTTTTTAGTTGTTCTTGTAGCAATTGAAACAATCCCAGAATTACAACTATGATGCCTAATTGTTCAAAGACGTGATTCGCAATCAATGATATTTCTGTGGTAGAATCATAGCCTAGTCAGTTATTTAAAAAATTCAATTTTTCATCTAAGTAAGAAAGTACTAGATTCGTCATATTTTAGACAATTCAAGAGAAATTCACGTGTTCTACAGACAGGATTCTAACTCAAAACCCTTTGTTCCACGTGTTGCATTTGTTACCACAACTTATTAAATGTCAGTAAGTATTTTTAGAATGTTTCATAATATGGCATAAACAAGATTTATTAAAAAATGAACAAACCCAAAGAACCCCCTATTCAAGACGTACAAACATGGATAGTAAAAATCTTAAAAAAATATATTCATCTTTGTATTCTAGTCCAGTTTATGAAGGTTTTAAACTAGCAAAAACATCTTCAATAAATTCAAGAATTAAATTTAAATTTTCAAATGATTTACTACAATCTCCTTCATTTGACTACTTTATACATAAAATACATACTATGCCATTGTTTTGTTTAAAAAATAAAAAAAATGCATTTAATCAATTAAAACGAGATCTTAAAGGTACCTTTGAGGGTATCCCTGAGTATTTATGTACATAAGATAAATTGTCTTCTTAAGTTATTTCAGTTGTAAATTGGTTATTACTTGAATAAGTTATATTTATGTGTTCAATTTTTTAAATTTAATTGCAATATTTTCTTTTAGCATAAAAATAGCTTTGTACATGTCATTATTCAAAGTTAATCAATTAGCTGTGTAAAAACAACAAATAAATTGTGCTGTTTCTTTAGAAACCGGCAAAAAAATCCATTCGTTTATAATCGCTTCATTAAGAATCATTTCATTCTTCCCAGGGGTTGTTGCCATGGGCAACGCAGGCAGGGCCTACTTTTGCGCAGGCGACGACAGCAACCCGCCTCGGGAGGGGGCGGTCTTTCCTACTGCGTGACGTCCAATGCTCGGCCCCCTGCATTGCTCCCGGGCCTCTGTTCTTCTCACCTGCTCGCACCCACTCCGCTCCAGGGGCCTCTCAAAAGCGCTTCTCACCCAGATTTCTTCTGCTTTTGTTTTTTGCGTTCTGCTCGAAAAAGTAAACCGGTTTCAATGAAGGAAATGTTTTTCAAGGAGAGAAATTTTTGATTGTTTTACGGCCTGTTGAAATTGAGGTTTCTTTGGCGGCGGAGGTGAAAAGAAGGAGAAATTAGGCATGTTGTCCTGCTGTCATTGACGTTCATAAAGAGTAATAAAAGGTGACTGAATTATGCGAAACATTTTTGATATTTATTGTAACAAAATAAAAATTTGTTTTTGTATTTCATACTTTGTTCCTATGACAGAAAATTAATTAGACTTATCAACTCAAATTAAAAAGAAGAAATAGAACGCACGAAATGCATTTAGAGAGCAGAAATAGTCTTGATTTTTAACATTCTCAAAATAAATAATTACTTTATTTACTAATTGAAACCTCCACGCGTTTATGGTCCGAGGATTTATGGTCCGGTCATTCATGAACTCCATATTTGCTAAAGTTATCACTTAAATTCAGTACCTTTCTTTTCACCTATTAGCGCGTTAAATAAATATGATTAACGGAATTTTCAGTAATTTATTTAATTTATAAAATCATATTTTTAGTAATTATTTTCTTTTTCTACTATGTGATGTATATCTTGCTGCGAATATACTTTTGAATTAGTCTTTGAAACTTGCAGATCTTTTTTCTCCAACCCACTAAATTCGTTTCTGGGGCAAGCTTATGAGATTTCACCTATTGTTTGATGTTTCAAATCACAAATAAATGGTGGTTATTGACCCATCTATATATTATTTATTCGAATTTTGAAAATAATATTTCCATGATATGAGTACTTTCCACCACATTAAATTATCTACAAATATGAATTACTAACACTTAGGTATCTGATTCACTCACATTCAAATGTTTGAATACCACACGTTTTGACTGCACAATGGCTTTCACGATCCAATCCGTCTGCCAAGATTTCTTGCCATGAATTCAAAATACCAAAAATTCTCTCAAAATCTCTCTCTTTTCTTGACATCTTCATATTGTCAAAGTCATAGATACCATTATCTCCATCTAAGTAGTCATTTTCACCCATCTCGTAGTCATCATTATCGACAAGGTAGCCACCATTTTCATCATCAACACTATTTTTATCGTCGATGTCATCGCCGCAATCATCGTAATAGTATTCGTTGTAGTCATTGGCATTCTCTCTAAAACGTCTTTCAAGGAACCGCATTATTCTCTGTGAGTCGTATAAATAAGCCGCCTTTAGCAGGGTCATGGAAAATACGTGACTGCGAGCGCAGAATCTCCTTACCCAGCATCATCGATATTCCAAGACATGAAGCCATCACCGACTTAAAGAAGATAACCGCGACACGGAGCATATGAGAAATCGCGGCCGTACGTTCCCAGGCAACGCGAAATAAATGCAAGATCACTTCTCCCGCTGCGAAAAGAGGAACCTACCGCGGCCTGGTCGCAGTTACACTGGATCATAAAAATCGGCCGCTGGTTCGCTTTGAGCACAGTGGGGCGAAACAATGACAACTGTAGAACCTGGATTAGTTTCAAGTAGTAAATAAAGTAGTTATTTATTTTGAAAATGTTGAAAATAAAGACTATTTCTGCTATCTACAAGCATTTCGTGCATTATTTTCATTTTCTTTAATTTGAGTTAATATGTCTAATTCATTTTCTAACTTAAAGAACAAAGTATGAAATACAAAACAAATTTTCATTTTGTTAACATAAATATCAAACTTTTTTGTATAATTCAGTCACCTTTCATTACTCTTTATGTACGTCTTTGTGGACCTCCGTTTTCAAAGAAACCTCAATTTCAACAGGCCATAAATCAATAAAAAATGTCTTTCCTTAAAAAACATTTCCTTCATTAAAACCTGTCCTGTGATTTCGAGGCATTAATTTAAAGTTACATTTTCGTTGATTTTTAGGAATTTATTTTACACTAGTAACTTATAGAAATATTTTTTGTCACTAATGACCAAAAATGTAATGTTGCAAAGTATTCATTTCATTGGTACGTAGTATTATTTCCAAATTTCTTAGAATTTTCGTGTCATTTCTTAATTTCTCTTACTATAAGCCCTACGTTCCATTTAGAAAATAGTCATTCGCAAAGCACGATTTCGAGATTTCGATAGCAATTATCATCTTTTATACTTTTAGGAACTTCGCCAGGATATAATCAATACATCTTTAAGTCTGTGTATGAGTCCAGCTATATTATTAATTGTATTTTCTCCTCGAAAACTAATATTCCATAAGAGCTTGGTTTTATTCTGCACCCATATGAATTTACATCGATTCTTGCTCGTAATATTTATTATCATCTTGTTCGTAATATTTATATGAACCTGAAAAATTCCTTCAAGAAAATGTTTGAATATTTTTAACTCTTTATTTTTATTTCGAACATTCCAACTTTCATTTTCATTTGTATATATTTTGATTTCTTATTCTTACTTTTACCTTCAATTAATTCGTAATTTTTAATTTTATATTTTGACTTGAAAATTTTCAATTTAAACGTTGAGTTTTGAATTTTTTAACTTTTTTCTTTGGTTTATTACGTTTATATTTTTAATGTTTTGCCGGGCGGACCTTCGATCGTTGGCCCAGTGCGGGCGCCTGTTGGAGCATTCCCCGCCCAGTGCCTCATGCATGGGAAGCGAGTGGCAGCGCCGAGCCGGGCCAGCCGTCGCAGCTTATTGAGTTCGACAGTTTATGGCGCGTGCAAGCAAGAAGAACGGCGAGCGCGTAATGGGAAATTTCGCCGCGAGTAATGGAGGACGAGAGCGGGCTTCGCGAGCGATTCGCGCGTGCGCCAGCCCTTCGGAGACAATGTAAAGGGCAGCAGGTGTCTAGCCGACTGTCTTCGGGTAAAGGGCGCTACCCAAGATGGACCATTTGGAAACCCTCAAGAGGACGGCAACTATCGGCAATCTGTCGGCGAGTTAGCTGACATGGTGTAAAAGGCCACCCATGAGTTTGATGTTCTCTGGAAAGGACATCAACTGCTTGGCAAACGTCGACCAGGTAGCGGACTTCGGGTACTTCGCGCTTTCATTGAGACTAGTTCTTCTCAGACAGTCGAGAAGATAACAAATGCCAGGGGAGTAATCAACGAATTACCTATTGTCAGGTAAAGGGTGCTTTTGATATGTACAGATTTTTGAAGTCAGTGTAAATGGCAGCGAATTCTTGTAATCTGACTGCCAGCTGTCTTCGTGTACACGGAGCTTTTCACTAGACCGATACTTTGAGATAGGGAAGAGCATGGCAACTGTATAGCAATCCATCAAGTAAGTTAGCTGCCATAGTGAAAATGTTGGATAGTTACCCGCATTGCAAGTTAGCTGCGAACTCCAAGTGTCGGCGAGCTAGCACTTCTATAACGACGCTTTCCGCTAGCCCACCTCATTGAAGACATTCAAGAGGGCTGCAACTAACGAACTGTAGTGAAGTTAGCTTTCCTAGTGTAAATATTTTCTGCTAGATCTGTCCTTTGGAAACAGTGCAAAGAACAGCGACTGTCTAGCTGACCGTCGGCGAAATAGCTCTCTTCAGGTAATCAATGTATTTCAAGAAACAATATTTGATGACTGCGAACAAGACAGCACATTTTCCCTTAGTTAACTCTCGAAAAAGGCGCTTTCCACTAGCTCAGTCCTTTGGAGCCTGTCAACAGAACGACTCGAGATAACTGTCGTGGAGTACTTGTTTTACTTGCCTTGCCGTTCTGGACTGACTCGTCCAGCCATGGGCCCATATATACCACGTGCTCCTAGAGGAGCGCTGGGTCACGATACGCTAAGTGGGTCGCCCACTTGAGGAAATCTGGACTAAAGGACCGAGGTTGTGTAGCCAAATGTCTTCCAGATACTTTGGAGTAAATGGCACTTTATGGCGAGTTACTTCATGACACAAGCATGACCTATAAAGTACTTAACTATTTATCTGAAATACATAATGTTTCTATTTCACCTTCAAGTTTAAAATTAAAAATTGTATCTCAACATCTAGCACAACAGATTTCTAGAAGTAGACGTGCGTTTCACAAATTGACGCATATGTACCATTTTGTAATACTTGTATTTGTATATTTTTTCTTTCTAATACCATTTTGTATTACTTGAATACTTCAAAAATTGTCAGTTATCTGTACTATTCAAGTGGTCACTCATGACCGTTAATGCGATCCTAATAAATAATCAAATTATAAAAAAAGTATTTTGGAAACTCAATTTCGTAAATGGTGTTCCATCACATAATACTCTGATATAATATAGGAATGGAGTATTCATTTTACGAAGTATTTTCTCTGCATGGAAGACGTGATGAAAATGTATTTGTATAAGATGATAATATATGACGATTCACCCTATAAAATGGAATTAGATGAACGCTCGCCAAAGGTTCACAATGTTGCGACTGTTGTCTAATGATGTTACGCGTTTCCCTAGTAAATAACACGAATGTCAAATTAACTATCAGCCGCAAACTTGGACCACTAACGCTCTTAGTTGTACTAGAGCAATTAATTACTAAAACAATTTTCTAATAAATCATCCAATATTGGATCCAAATTAACATGATTCAGGGAATGCTTCAATAATACATTGCATTCGGTCGTAAATGTATAGGTTATGCACTAAACTGGTTCGTAGGGCAATTTGAATTAATTTGGGAAAACAAAACATATGCAAAACATCGTTATTTTAATCATACCGAAATTGCTATTCTCATACCACATCTGACTCATTGGATTGCAATGACATTACCGCAATTTGTAGATGTTCGCACCATTGATGCCAGTGCTAATATTCAGCTTGAGAACCACGATCTGAGAGTGGTTGTTTGCTAATGTCCAATATATTGTCATTACGTTTATTAACATATTTTACTCTTTAGTGGACTGATTAGTGGGATGAAATTGGAATATTAAACTGTACAGTCGGACCATATTAAAAGAGAT